AGGTGCCCTGCCAGTCAATGTTCCCTTCGCTCTTGATATAGACACTGAAGTTTTAATTAAAAACGAGGCGTCTTGGCACAAGTCTTGCTATTTGARATTCAATTTGTCGAAGCTACAAAAAGCCAAAGAAAGAGTATCTAGGAAAAGGAAGAAAGAAGAAGGCCACCCAGAAGAGGAGAAAGCCCCTGCATTAAAGAATCGACGACAATCAGTAACACACAATAAGGTGGACTGCATCTTTTGCGGTAAGGGGGGACAGCTACATGAGGTCACAACTTTTTCGACTGACCAGAATATCTGTCGCATAATTACTGAAATAAACGATGCTACGCTAATGCCAAAGATCTCGGGAGTTGTTCTCATAGCTGCTGAGGCCAAATATTACCTTAAATGTTTGACTGATCTAAGGAATCGGTATAGWAGTCATCTCACTAGAAAACGGCAAGAATCTTGTGAAGAAGAGGATGAGAGGATTATGGAATCTCAAGCATCCATTGAGTTGGTTGAGTATATTGAGATTTCTGTTAAGGAAAACAAGCTTCTTTTTATGCTATCTGAATTGCATGCACTTTATATAAGTCGTCTTGAAGCTTTGGGCGTTTATAAGACTGTAAATAAGACTCGACTGAAGAATTCATTGTTAGATCAGTTTCATGATGCACAAGAGTAAAATGATGGAAAAAATGTTGTCATAGTTTTCACGAAAGCATTAAAGGGCATGGTTAAAGATGCAATCAAGACTAAAAGGGACTTCTCCGAGGACGCCACGATACTGGCCAAGGCTTCCGCAATTGTAAGAAGAGACATACTCGAGCATAAAGGATTCAACTTTTCTGGAAGTTTTACTACAGATTGTCAAGAAATGTCCACCCCAGCAAGTCTAAAGTCGCTCATTTCTATGATCCTGAGTGGTTTGGTACTAAACTACCATCCAACTGGTTGTCATTCCTGCGTGACCCGTTAAACAAACAAGAGTTGTTTCAGTTCCTATCGTTGAAGGTTGCTGGACATAACTGGCCAGAAACGAAGACAATCCACGTTACATCAGGTAACATGCAACACATATGTCAGCTATGATACTCAAACAAAATATGCTGTATGTGTAATACAACAAAGGAAATTAACTAACAAATCTTTCGGCTAAGCGACCCCCCTCAGTGTTCTTACTAAGACATATTGAAAAGTGGTAACAATCATGCTAATGTGTATAACCTATGTTGGAATCACACAAAAAATGTTAACTACCGAAATGATTTTTCTCCAGGTACTTCTGTGATTTCCATTGGCTCTGTAACCGCTATGACAGATTGTACTCACGAGGAGGCAGATACGAGGGTTGTGGTCCATATCCTTCACGCCATCCAAGTTGAAGAGGTGAAGTTGATGGCAAATGGGTTCCGAAATGGATCACTATTCCCGAAGTATCCAAGGCTTGCAGTGAACTGATTAAGTGCTCTTGCAAACGTGCCTGTACAAGATGCAAGTGTGCCAAGGCTTCCTTGGGATGTACCCCCCTTTGTAGATGCCAATGCTAACAAAGTAATTGCATCAAGCTTAGGGGACAATCTGAAGAGTTTCAGCGATCGAACATTGTTTCCGTTATGTAGCCCTACATTGTTTCCGTTATGTAGCCCTAACTTAATTCAAATAATATAGTTATCTCTTGGCGTTTCTATTAGCGCTATTTAAAAGTACATTTGTTTCGCGAACATATATCGATCTAACAGCAGTAATTTAGGTTCAAAATGCGAATTTGAGAAAGGGAACGTGAATTGCAATAAGCTTTGGCAAGAAGGGACTGGGAACTAGTATATATCCAAAAGCCTTATGTAATGTATATGCGAAGAAATATCCAAAAGCCTTATGTAATGTATATGCGAAGAAATTAGTAAGCATAATAGTTTCAGTCAATAAATGTCACTACTGCATTTCTTGTGAGCTGTTTTACTTGAAAACTGCAAACCACCACAGGTAACCCAATTCGTAATTAAGGTAAATTTTAAAAACCCCTTAATCCCCCTTAATTGTGAGAATTGCGTTGGGCTCCCCCTCTAACATTATTTAGTGGATCCTAAGGAACATCTCTGCCAAATTTGGCGCTTTTGTCACTTCTGTAACGATGGGACCTATATTTTGCCATAAGAGACCTGACTAAAACGAGCTAGGTACATCATAACACTAATAACTGAACTTACAAAGAATGGGTGGAAAAGAAGACTATAATATAAAGATTACAATATCGATTAGTATCTATATATATACTATATGATTATTTGTGTTTATCGCTTGTTCGTGCTTTACACAAACAACTCGTGAATATAATCCCGTACGTCGCACTTTCTATGAAGTAATCTCTATTTATTATATATTTAAGGTGGAACCAAACTAATTCAGAGCGAATTTCGGACAATTTTATTCTCGCTCCCTTCGCAAAACTATTACGTCAATTTAACTGTATTTTTCATATAATGTGCATGGATTATCCTAGATTCTAACAGTGTATTTCATTTTAAGTTATTTTTTCAACGTTTAGCCTATTACGGCCGAAAATCAAACAGTGCTATTTTTGGCTTTTGGCTTTTTTCTCCTCATCCTCATGTACGATTTTTCTGAAATTTTCAGAATCTTATCATCTAGTACTATTGCATCCTGTGTATAAATTTGGATGGAAAGTCTTGGGCAGAAAAAAAGTTATGAAGTCGCCTGAAAATTCGATCCAAAATTTGAAGCATATAAGACATCGCGCTGTAGAAACATTAATTAACTTTGAATGGATTGCCTTGAAGTTTTCACATATCTATTTCCAAGTATTGCGGATGGGCCTTACGAAAAATCAGCATGAAATCTTAAAAACGCATCGAATAGATGGTTGTTTTTTTTTACTAAATGTCGTGTAAAGCTCAAAAATAAGAGTTTTGCTAAAAATCACATTTTGGCCATCTTCTTCAAAATGGCTCCGAGTTTTTTCTTTAAACTTCCTATGTCGATAGACCAAGTCTTTATTTAGATGGCAGTAAAATCCTATCCAAATTTTGGAGAAAACATTTTTTAAAGTGAGGTGTACCGAAAGAGCTCACCCGCTAGAAGATCACAGGATCTGAAGGAGAATAAGAAGAAAGAAAAGAGGCTTTAAGTTTCTCAGAGAAAGTTCTTAAGCTCAGCTGTTTTAATGTATTATCAATTGCGTTCCAAATAACTGCACCTTTGTATCTTAACTTAAAAGGTTTGATGTTCTGAAGACAATACGATAATTTAAATGCAAGTCTTGTGTTATAATGGTGTAATTCATTTACTGGAGAGAAGAGGTTGTCAAATACATTTGGAAGTAATTTAGAAGAAATTAGTAATTATAAATCTAATGCGAGATAAAATGAAAAACAGGTTTACCTTCCGATAGACCATCGACAGTTTCAACTTCAAAAAAGTTTAATGTTTAGAGCTTGGAGTGGAATGTTCAACTGAGCATGATGATCAGATAACTGTGAATCTCTTTGTTACGCCACTAGCACTCAATGCTCAGCAGCCGAAGAGTCGAAACAAAGAAGTTATTTTTGATAAACAATACACAATATTCGCGTCCGTTCTTTAAGTTCTAAGTGAGGGTAGAATAAGTACATCCCATCATGACCTATAGTCAGGGCATAGCCTTTCAATGTCTACTAACCCTAAAGAAACGCAATTTTGTCACGCATAAATAGGGAAATTTGATTGATATAATATGTTTTTAACTTAGTAGATGATTATAAGTTTATTTTGATGATTATTGTTATTGAACAGTTAAAGTGGTTGCAATATCAAAATGATTTTTAATTTCGTGATTTGGCCACTTTCGACTCTTCGGCTGCACTTTGAATGCCAGTGGCGTTGTTGATCCTTATGCTCAGTTGAACATTCCACTTCAAGCGCTAAGAATGGAATGTCCAGCATGATGATCAGACAACTATAAGACTCGATAATACACTTTTTGCTGTTCGTTAACAGAAAATGTACATTCATTTTTGCCATTAGTTGTATCAATAACGCGTAATGTACTTTCATCAACACCAAAAGTAACATCATTAGCGCGGATCAAATTTCAATATCGACATTTGAATTGCGTGTACATTCATGGCATCAATGCTAATAGCACTAATGAATTTTCACTTTTGGATAAATGATTGTCATTAAACGCAACTGTTTGTGAAAGCCAAACATAACCTGGGCTGAAAAAAGGCTTGTAAAGCGCATTTAATCATTTTGCCATGGAAAATCGCGCTATAGAAATTATTAAATTATTATTATTATTATCATTAAAAAAAAAAAAAAAAAAAAAATCGCAAAAATCACAGATTGAATCCTGAAATAGCCTCTGGGCTGATCATGGCACTGTCAATTAGTCTGTTCGTTTATACTCATCAGATCAATTTAAGTACGCCCTTCTCCAAATTGGCGGCCGCAAATTCATATTAGTGGAAATTAAACTGAATGAAAAAAACTTGTGTCTTTCTTGGTGTAGCAAGCTTTATCGTATAGACACCTTACGATCCATTTTGTTTCTCTGAAATATGGCTCCAGTTACATTCATTTTCCAAACGTACCATTTCTAATGTTTAATTCTTTTTTATAATGATAATAACAGTAATAATAATAATAATAAAATACAGCTTATACAGCGCTTATACAGTTTTTATACGATTTTGATACAGTGAGGGCACTCGAACCGTGAACACTTGGAGTCTTTTTTCAGGTCATTATTTCGACCTTCTAGAGTTTCCGATTTAGCGGCCTTTGAGAAATATTGCCAAAAACCTACTTTTTCCATAGTTTGGTTAAAATTGATTATAAAAGGTAATATGTGATGTAGTGTAATCATGGTAAAACTGGTATAATGTTCAATGACAGTTGTGAACATTCCAAGAATCACGAAGGCAGCAACCGTTTCTGTACGCCCATCATTCGACCCCGCGCAAACAAACTTCTCTATTACTGATCTTCATGCTCAGGTGAACATTCGACCCAAGCGCTAAACATTCACGTAAGTGTTGGTAAAAGGAAACGTCGATAGATTGAAGGTAAGCCGGTTTTTTTTGCGAATGTCGTGCAATTGCCGGCAAACGTTTAGTATAAATGAGAAGTCTATAATTGCAAACATGGCAAATATGAGATGGGGCACTTGTTCGACTTGAGGACTCGTTCACGACAAAACTTTACTTAGGTGTTTAGTTTATTTCTTATAGTTTGCATAAGGATGATGTCGAACGGAAATCGAAATCTTTCTGACCAATCGTACTGGTGGCTATGGTCCTGTCTTCGACGATTGATTCTTACTCTTTAGAATTTTTATTGCTAAAGTTCCGTTTTCCTAGGCTATTACAAACCTTAAACATCTTATCATATTTTGTTTCTCTGATATATGGCTCCAGTTACTTTTCAAGAGAAGATGTCAGTAAAAATCAAACAAAATCGAAATTTGGCGGCAACAGCCAAAAAATCGAATTCGCTCATATTCAAGTATAAGGTAGACATATAGCCRAAACAAATCGTGGTATGCTTCGTTTTTGGAATTAAATATCGCTTTGTTTCCGAGAAAAATTAGAAAAAACACAATTGCCAATAAATGACCCTCTCCATTACTAATTACAGAACAAAATACCCCAAAAAATCACTTTACTCACGATTAGAACATTGGTTCAACTTTTACATTTCTAAATATCGACGTTTTATTTTATAGCACATGGTTAAAATATTTTTTGAAAGTTGCTCATATTTCATGACGTGCCAAAGTAGCTTGGTAGATTAGTAATAAAACAATTTCCGCCACTACGTAAATTTATTGGAAAATAATAAAATTTCACAGACTTAAAGCGAAGACAATGTTAAAAAAGGTTTTTCAACAATGAAGCCCATACACACGCGAGGCCCTTGAAGTTGCGGATGGTATTCTGGCTCTCTCATAGAGTCAATTTCACAGTTCCCTGCGCCATCTTGAAAGGTAGCCGTGCCTTTGCATCGAAGCGAGACGAACGGTGAGCTTGCAATGATAGAGATATGCGAATAATTGAAAATTTTTTTGAAAGTCTTGCTGGTGCATGGCGATTACGGTGGCATGCTCTAACCACCGAGCTACCAAGTTTCATATGAGACCATAGTTAATGGAGCGGAAACTCATAAGACATAATAGAGTTTTGGTGGACGTCAATCAATGCGTTTCCATGACATTCCATAGGCACGTGCACTTAAAAGCTTTGTGTTTTCTGACAATGCTGGGAAACACCCCTTGATTGACGTCCACCAAAACTCTATTATGTCTCGATTTTTTCCCCCACGATTTCGCGCGTGTGATTGAAAAGTTATTATACTAGAGAAACAAGATCAAATTTATTAGTTAGAACTTAACATTACCAAAATATTGGCTAAATTCAAACTTTAACATAATCACAAGCATAAGCTTAAACATAAGCCTAAGAAACACAAGTGTTAACCGGGCTTGCACAAAGCATGAGCATAAGAATTACGATAGTACTATGCTTCTTATGCTTATGTCTATGCCTATGTTGAAGTGTGAACCAGTTCTTAGGTGCTGGTTCAATACTTCCATGCATACAATAACATTGATTATGTTCTGGTTGAGCGGTATTTACTATTTGTCGATAAACAATTCGATAATACTTTATTGGATTTTGTTGCACTGGTATAATGACTGCGATCTACATGGTATGCCTCTAGGTAAAACTACAACATTTCGTAAGAGATCGTCCATTTTTTATGGAGATGGGGGAAAAGGTGGGATTTTGTGAATTAAGAAATGTATGACCCCTTCCCAACCTGAATTTTTTTTACGTGATCCCCTATTAAAACAAGATATTTTTGAAATACATTTGCTATTTATCTAAACTTTTAGTGGGTAGTCCCGCCTTAACGCCCCCCCCCCCCGTAAATCCCACCATTCCCCCTCCCCTCCCATGGCCGTCAAAAATGAACGTCCCCTAAAGATTGCACTGAAATGACGAAGATATGAATTTTTAAGACTAAGCATTTTTTCCTTTTTCCGATGAACCAAATATTTCATAATGCCACGCTAGCGTCACGATATAGGAGTCAAATTTCACTAGCTGCATCGAATGTCAAATTATATCAGAAAATCTATGCTCAGGGCTAAAAATGACGGCCGGTCAAAGGACATTGCCCCGGGCAGAAATGTAGCTTGTCCGGTCAAATCTTTGCCTTACCGGTCACGTATTAACTTCGATTGATTTGCCTTTTTTTTATTAATGAGTTTATGACGTAATGAGTCTAATACAAACCAGTAACAGTTATTATAATACACTCAACAAAATTACTCGATTTTGATTGGCAAATTGAACTCTGTAGAGTCCCAATTTTTATTGAGTGTATTATAAACAAAAAATCGCACAATCTTCTCGTACAATTCGGAGTTTATAGATACTAGTGATATTTTGACCTTAATGACTTGGTTTTCGTATTAAAATATTTAAAGAAGTGATTTCCGTGATTTCTACTTGCAAGTGACAACCAAGCCTCACAGTCCAAAGACTTCACCGGGTGTCATCTAGTGTTTTTCCACCAATCGCATGCCAAAAAAGACTTGTTCAACATTTGTGAATTAGATTCTAGTGTTTCTGTGCCTTGATCTGAAATTATGTCAACTGCCATCTATTTAGCAATCAGTCGTCGAGCCCGAATGGACTACGAGTCAATAGTCCATGGGGCCGAAAAGTCAAATACAACTAGTCGGTCAAATATATCGATTGAAACAAGTTTTGAATTAGAGTTTAAATTTAATGAATTTGGTTTTCGAAGCCGGTACTTTTCACTGTTAGTAGGCTATAACTTATAGCCTATGAGTAGCTCACCCAATCAGAACGCAGCATTGATCATAGACGTCCACTGGCTGGATTTCATTGATATATGATATAGTGATGGTGGTGATGAAGATGATCACTGATGACTGATGATGATGATGATGATGATGATGATGATGGTGGTGATGATGATGATGATGATGGTGGTGGTGATGATGATGATGATGATGATGATAACAACAATAATAACAACCAATGATAATAATAACAATTAAATATAACAATAACAATAAAATCAGAGCGCGACACAGTCATTTCCCTCCCACAGCTCATGGAAATAAAGCACATATGGTCGTAGCTTTGCATCAGAATCTGTTTAGTACGCTTGGGGAATTGGGCTCCTTTTAGTAATGGCGCTTAGGGCTGCTGCGAATTTTGCATTAAATAGGAATCATTGACTTTCATGAAAGCCCCCATGGGTTATGCGGTAATAAAGCCCGAGTTGACTCATGAAGAATCGACTTTTATATCATTTCTTGACATAAATGTATTGTTTCTGTCCTCAGGTAGCAAGCAAATAAGTTTTCCTAGCCACTGACTGAAATAAAATGGCAGCAATGTTACGAGCTCCCTTCCGCGTAGCAAGTTTGTCTCACTGCAAGGACCTGTTAACATTAACCTGGCAAGACGGTAAGCAGAGCAACTTCCCAAATATCTGGCTACGAAGTGCCGTGCGCGATCCCGAGGTTTTCGATGCCGGTTCTTTGCTGTATAAAAGAGATGATTACGTTGAGTTTATCCGTAAAGAATCCCCGTTGGTTCGTGCAGAACATGAGAAGGGAAGCGAGGACATTCTTGTTGAATGGGGAGACCATCTTGGTACTTTCAATGCTTCATGGCTTCGTGCTCAAGACCAAAATATCAATAGAGATCTGTGCAAGAAGCCTGACATCACTCTTTGGGATGCCAACTCCAAGTTTCCTATTTACGAGTACTCGGAGAGGAAGGCAACGTTCCGCACTTGGTTCAACGACTTGAGGAAATACGGCTTGGCGATTTTCAAGGGAGTGCCTCCAAATGAAGAAGGTCTCATGGGCATCATGCACTCTATTGGTCAAGAAGCACAACGCGTCCATCCTACAAATGTGCTCCATATCTTAAAAGATAGCAAGAAAGAAACGAGCTACGACTCTGGAACTTACACTTCGAATGCGCACCCAATGCATGTGGACACCCCCTACTATCCAACGATGTTCAGATTGACATGTTTGCTAGGAATCCGCTACGATGCTCCGGTTCAAGACACCTATAACTTTGTTGTCGACAACCTGAAGGTGATTGAAGAAATACGCAAAGAAGAACCCGAGGCATACGAGCTGCTTCGTACGTTCTAGCAAATTATCAGTCCCAATAACAGAATATTAGTTGTTTTCTTGTCGTTCAAAGTTTCAAAAATAGCTAATTTGTACAATGTAAACATGGGTTGCCTGTGGTAATCTATGCATGCGATCAGAAAGTCAGCGGTTTTACTGTTAAAAAATAGCGGATGCATGCTCCAGTGATTCGGAAGAAGAAAAAGCATAACAAATGCTTCGATAGTAAACAATAGTAGTCGTCAAATAATTTTGACATTTTGCATTAAGTTTTGAAAAAGAGAAGAAAATATTGTATGTTCAAGTTTAAAAAGTTATTCAAGTTATTAAAGGTAGAAAAGACACTTCTTTTAAAGGTAAATTTCTCAATTTATAGTAAAAAAATGAAGATTTTGTGAACAGTGTTCTGGCAACTTTTGAGCGACTTTTAGAGTACGTTTGGGGTAACTTTTGAACAACTTTTTGATTTTTTTGGCAACTTTTGAGAAACTTTTTGGCAAATTTTGAGCAACATTTTTTAGTTTTTGGAGCAACTTGTGGACAGCCCTAGAAACGAGGCTGCGTTTAACGCAATGCGCAGCATCTTTTAAGAAGATGGTACAGATGCCACGCCTCTAATGCTTTTAATGCTCTGAATGGATCTGCAGCGCTACATAATATCAGGGTGCTGTGCCCGACCGTAGAAACGTATGCAATCAATACTTACAGACAGCCCGCGCGGCTTTTTATTCTCGGTGGGCAAGAATCACGATCTGCATAAGGCAACACGCAGGGTGATCCTCTTGCTATGAGACTGTACGCCATTAGTCTTCAGCCGCTTATAACCCGACAACAACTGTCAATTGTAACCAAGTCATTCCTAGAGGAATATGTTAAAGAGAAGGTGGAAGACTGTAAGCTTACGGAGTTTGCCATATCTAAAGCTCAGGCGTGCTACGCCGCTTTCACTGTTGGTCTGCGTCACCGCGCTGGACGTACTTCATAAGTACACTCCCCGATATTACGGACCTACTTGAGCCACTTGAACGTGCGATAACTGAAATCCTGATTCCCGTCATCAGAGATCACCAAGTTGCGGCAGGTATATATGCACTCTGCAAGGTTACAGGAAGGAGCTAAGAAAAACGAGCTCCTAAAGGTTACACAAGAAATGGTTAAGAAAAATCTAACCCCAAGATCTCTGAGAGCGGTTGAGTTGGCCTCATAAAAAGGCGCTTCGAGCTGGCTAACTGTAATGCCCATAAAAAAATTTGGGATACGATTGAAACAAGCGAGAATTTAGAGACGCCATCAAGGTAAGACATAATTGGGAAATCTCCGACTCACAGAAAACGTGCGTGTGCGGAGATATTTTAGACGTTGACCATGTGATGATTTGGAGGAGGGGTGGTTTTGTGACACAATGCCACAAGGAGCTTCGAGATCTGGAAGCTAAACTGCTGAGCACTGTATGTAGTGATGTTGATGTGACGCCGGTTCTTCAACCGGAGAGACTCTGAACAGGGGTGCGAATAGAGCCCCCGACGCCCGTATCGACATCAACGCCCGAGATTTCTGGGAGCAACAGAGAGCTGTATTCTTTGATGTCCGGCTCATCACGTACAATTTCATACTAACTCAGGTCATTACCGTGTGGAAGAATGGGTTCGAGTGCCAAACAGAAAACAGATGAAGATGTTAGCTGGAATTTTCGGAAAATCTTCAGAATAAGTCCCTCCTTGAACGTAGTTTAATAATACAATGCCATGATTACTCGATCTACATTTTCATTTTCCCCGCTAAAACCTAATTCCCAGGGCTCGCCCGGTTTTCTTTCCCAGCTCAAACTCGCGTCTGCTCGATCAAAAAAAAAAAAAAAAAAAAAGCGTTTAGAATAAAAACTGGCACCTAAATCAACTGTTTCCCTAGCAACAAGAGGCCTGGCTACTCAGTATTACAAATGGCGAACGAAGAATGAAAAAATTATTGGTAAAATGGACGCGATTGTCGAGCGATTGTGGCCATTCTGGACTTGTCGTAAAAAATTAAAATCAGCCTAAAGGATGACTGAAGAAATACGTCAAAAATCGCATGTTATATTTACTGTTGACAGAAAAGAATGCAGGATTTATTTACGGCAGTAAATGTACATCTAATTTCCAGTGCTACATTCCCTCCGGCATCGAAATCATTTTATTTCAGGTCTTTTTTACAGCGTTCGCTTAGATCGCTTATTCACTGTGATCAACATTCTAACATTAATGTGATTTACACTTGAGTTTTTGCACTCTTTTTTAATGCCTACATGTAGTTCCGTGTATTTTTCTTGTTTTTCAACAGCTCTCTCCGCCATCTTACCAACTTGACAAACTGTGCCTTCAAATAGTGGCCAAGCATTAAGGTTCTGACAAACGGTGCAAGATTGCATGCAAGATTGCACGCAGCAGGAATGTTGTAGCCTGTGTCTATCCCAAACTTGTTGCACGCAACGTTGCATGCAACAAATCTGAAGTTGAATCGCGCTCTACTCTTGCAACATTGCGTTCAACCAATTTCATCATGCAAACATGGCTGCAACATTACCTGCAAAATTTTGAAATTTGCAGCTAATCAGCTTGCACCAAATTAATGACTGCTGACCAAATATCTTAACATAGCAGGCTGACACAAGCGATGTTGCGTGATTTTGTTGCAATGTGTGTCACCCCAATTAAAATTTGTTGCGTGAATGTTGCTCCGTGTGTCAGCACCTTTAGTTTCTTTATCTTCTACAACTATGTCGTGTTTAGACACCGTTTTCTGGAGCTTTCTCAAGTTGAAAGGGTCGGTCTCAGCATTCTGTCGTGTCTGGCTGAGTAAAGGCTTTGGGCGATCTTTGAGCAGCCACTCAGGTGTCTGTGATTTGTGTCTGTGATGTTTATAAATCTATCTTAAGTACAATAAAATATTTGTTTATCTTGATGTTTGATCTGAATTTCCTCGCTTTTTTATCCCTCATCTATTTGAGATAAATCACAATTTTTGTATTGATATCAATTTCCTCGGTTTGCATTCGATTGTTATCGTGAGTTTGATTTAATTGACCAAAAACGAGTGCGAGTGTTTGATCAAGGCTTCCAAACGCTTAGAAACAGATGAAAGCACGAGGGCGTTAGGAATAAAACTAGATATAAAGAGTTTAATTCTAGGATATAAAGTAAGTAATATATACAGTATGAGTGGCCGTGCTGTATCAGATATGCGAACTCGAGGCGTAGCCGAGAGTTTCTATATCGGATACAACAGGCAGTGGCGGATCCTGGATTTTTCAAAGAGGGGTTCCGTTTCT